ACGCGGACCATAAGATAGACAAAACGCAGTTCATTAGAGGGTCAAAACGCAGATGTCCCCCCTAGTCGCGTAACCACATTTGAAACCTTTAGCATAGCATAAAAGAAAAACCACCTTATAATTTCGTAACAACCGGCTCAACTGGCTTGTGGAACTTTTTCAATCCTTTCATTAGTTCATTTGAAATGAGGGTTGCTGACAACGATATTAATGGAATCCCAGAAAACCGTAATCTATTCGCGAAAGTATGTAGAACTAGAACACATTATCTTTTGTTTATTAGAGTTTTTGTGTTTGTTAGAGCGAAAGAGTTTATGGTAGAGTGAGAATTTTTGTTAGGTGAAAGAGTTTTATGTTTATTAGAATTTTAGCGATTACTTTTTTTTTCATCAGTTACGCGTGACGCAACTTTTTACAGATTATAATTAATTACGCACGTGACTTAAAGTATCAAAAAATACAAAAACGATACTTTTGCGTATGATATTTGATTACATCAAATTACTTTTTTTCAAACAATAAACTCAATGCATGGCATTATTAATTCTGATCTCAATTTTATTATTCTGATTTATACAGCGCACATGGGTTTAAACTTCAAAGAAAAATTATATATATATTTTATATGAAAAACTTATATAGCACAAAACCGTTTTTTAATTGTAATACTATACATAATAAAGCGAATTGATAACATTTTTTGAAAAGCATCAACCAAAAAATCAGAGCAGTAAAATCATAATAAAGATAGCTTACTTGCCATTTCACTAATTCTTTACGTACTTTGAAAGTTGTCATTGAGTTTTTTGCTTATCAAAAGATTCTACTTAAAAAGTAGTAACGAGTTAGAACCTGAGAAGTAGAATATAAAGCTTTACTTCAAATTACAACGCTATGATTACTTACCTGATTTTCTCTCTTGAATCTCTTCCGATCCTCATAGAGAACATGGGTGAATTCAAATAAGCCAGGTTTACTGAAAAGTATTTCAACCTGAAAAAAGCGGAGTCATTAACTTCTTGTTGTTTCATCTTTATTTCGATTTTCTTTAATTTGTTTTTTCACATTGACCGTTTATTTGACTTTATGAATTTAACAACTTCCATTCCGTAGGGAGTTTATTGGTCATGATTCTGTAATAAAATCCA